TCAGCTTTGAGATATTTTAGATGCAGCCTATTTTAAATGCAGAGCGGCTTAGAAAGTCTTGGTTATGCTCTTTCTCTCTCACACACACACACTTAAAAAAACCACACACACTTAAAAAAACCACCCCAAACCCCTTTTTCATTTGCATTTTAGGAGAGTGACTAAAGTTCTGACACAGAACACTGGTGAAGGGCAACTTCTCCCTTATTTTGGGTACTTCAGCTTGTGATGGAACCAAGGTGGAGTCTAGAGACATATAAAAAAAGTTGTGAAAATGCTTTTTTAAAAAAACGTTTTGAAAAATATATTGAATTTGCCATAGCTCACCACCGCCAGCTAGTGTCACATTTCTATAATGCAATTTACAGCACACTTAAAATGTTTTATTTGCAGCTGTATAGCTGAGTCCCAAGTCAAGGCTTGCTTTGCTCCAGGCCCCTGAGGGAATGCATTTTTTTGATAGACAAATTCAAGCAAATTGGAGTTTAGGTTCCTAGAGGGCAACAGAGTTGTTGACACTGTTCTTTGGAATAAAGAGCACAACTGTCCCATCCCTGCAGAACATCTCAGGGATGCCAGAGTCCAGAATTGGCTGTAAGATAAACATAAAGTGACTGACAAATTCAAGAAATAATAAAATAATAATAATAAAAACCTTGCCACACCAACTTCAGCAATTGTTTCAGGAACTGTTTCTCTGTCATTGAACATCTTAAAATGTGATAGGAGAACCAAGCCTGAATGTGCATGAGAATTTCAAGCTATGTGTCCAAGCACCATACAGGTGGCAACGTTTTACATGTGTTTGATTGGCGCATGACCATCAATGTGCATGCTGTTTTTGGCCCTGGAAGGTGGTGGAGTGAGACGGGGGTGGAACAGGATGGGAAGGACTTAGGTGTATTTCAACAACATGCAAGATGACCTGGAACACAACCAGCATGTGTGTGTGTGTGTGTGTGTGTGTGTGTGTGGTGGACCACAATGAAAAGACAACACTAATTCAAAAAATTACTATTGTTGTTGTTATTTCATTTATTTCATTTATCGATCACTTCCCATGAAGCATCCCAAAGCAATTTACAATATAATCACACACACACACACACACACACACACACACACCATATACAGCAACTCTCAACTTATGGACAGGTTACATTGCTTAAAGCCAAAATTGCATAAAGTCAAAACACATTGGGTGCAATGGCGGGTGGAATTGCCAAAATTTCTACCACCAACCTGATGCCTGCCCCCTCTTTGTCCCCTTTAAAAATATTTGTCAAAGCACACAATGCACACAAGTTAAATGCACCTAAGTTATGAGTTACCTGTATAAAAAACAACTTAAAGCAACAGCACATACTGTACCTAAAGCCAATGCAAATCCAAGACAGACACCAACTGGGATAAAGAAGGCTTTAGCAAAATGTACTTAGCAGACACAGAAAGACAATAGAGGAGGTGCTTGTCTGATGTGCAAGGGGAGGGAGTTGCTAAGAGTAGATGCCACCACAAAGAAGGCCAAGTTCCAGCACTGTGCAGAATTATCAGTTAATTAATTCAATTTATTAGTCTTTAAATTGTTTACATTTATATATATAAAACCAATTAAAAGGCGTAATCAAAGTCAAGCAGATGGATTGGCAGCTCAGCTCTTTCCATAAAACAGGCTGCTCTTGCTCCCATTTTACAGATGGAGAGCTAAGAGGTTGAGGCAGAGACTGGCCCAAGGGCCACAACGAACCTCCAGCTCATTAGGACTGAAGCTTCTGTACACATGGCTGCTCTCTGCCTTTGACCAGCTACTGACATGTGCAGGATCAAACCTTTTTACACATAACAGCAGACGTTTGGGGACGTGGGATTTTATTCCCTTTGGTGGGGAGCAGATGTTGTGGCCTTCCAAAAGTGTCACCCTAATCATTGGGGGTGGGGGGCGGGCATCTAAGCACTAGCAATCCAGCGCATGACGGATGCCTGAACGCTCTCACCTGCACTCGCACCGCCCTGCGCCTCGGCCCGCATCCGTCCCTTTGTCCCAGTCCTTGGGGATAATCTGATTTTGCAGCGAGTTGTGTGACGGGGATCAAAGGGCGTGCCACAGGGTATCTATTTTAGCCGGGGACCTGTTTTGTGAGGAGAGGAGATTAACCCCTGGCCCTCCTGGCAAGGGACGGATTGCGAAGGCAGAGGGGGCTTTAAGTATGGCAGATGAGAGGGATTAAGGAGTTAATTCGGCAGCGTGCCCTGGAATTGTAATTCCTCCCCCCCCCCCCAACACACTTCGAGACGCTACAGCATGCTGGAGCCTCGCTGGGCGCAGTCAGCGTGATTGTGGGGGGCGGGGGGTACCTCCTCTCCGTTCAGCTGCGCTGCCAGTTATCCGGGCAGCCCGACCCATTGCAAGTGCCTGGCTTGCTGCTGCACACAAAGGGAGCCAGCCAGCCAGCCAGCCAGCCACCCTCTCCCGCTTTCTGCCAGCTTCTTAAAGGGAGCGCTGCATGCTCAGCCTCACAGCTGCAGCGCCGGGTTCATCCAGTGCAGCTTCACCTCGCTGTCAGGGGGTGGGGGAAAAATAAGACAAGGGAATCCCGAAGAGGCTTTTTTGCAGGAGCCGACCAAGGCTCAGATGGATATCCTGGGTCTGCGGAGACCTGCCCCGTGATCCGGTGTTCCTTGGTGGCTCCTGAGCTTTGCGCCTTCAGCATTTCCATGGTCCACCGGGTGTTGCAGACGCATCTTTGCAGTACGCGCCTGCATTGATTTCGATCCAGCAAGCGGAGTCAAGCCAGCATTGAAGCAGCCCCCATGCTGCTGCTTGGGGTTTGCGGTGAAGACGATGCAGGCTCGAGGTTTCTGAAAGCCACAGAGCAAATGGAGGGGGCGATTTAAGAGCCGGATCCAAGCGGGGAGAAGGAATCCTTGCAAAGTGTGGAGGATCGATCAAGACGCGCGTTGCCAGTTCGTTTGGTGTTTCTGGCTTTCTAGCAAGTTCAGCACTTGCGAGGGGGACAGCGCCTCGGGTCGCCTCCGTCCTGCAGCAGAGCCCGAAGTTGGAGAGCGCCCCTCTGAAGTCTCCTGCAGCTGCATTGTGAGGGACCGGCCCCTTCGGCGCACCGCAGTCGCGCTCTGCCACCCGAAAGGGGTCCTCTCTCTTCTGTCAAGGAGGGCTCGGCGAGAGCGCAATGCAAGTCTCCATCGCGTGCACGGAGCACAACCTCAAGAACCGGAATGGGGAAGACCGACTCATCAGCAAACAGAACACCACCACCCCGAACTCAGTCAATGCAGCCCGGGCGAAATTCCGGACGGTGGCGATTATCGCTCGCAGTCTTGGGACCTTTACCCCTCAGCACCACATTTCCTTAAAAGAGTCCACTGCAAAGCAGACGGGCATGAAATATAGGTATGGGAAAACTCTTTATTCACGCTGTTTCAGTGTCCTCTCTCACTCCCCACCCCACCCCCCACGTTGCGAGAGATTGTCTGCTAACCAACCAGGAAATCTTTGCATAAACCCCACCAGCAAATTTCTAGAGTCCAAGAAATGGATGCAGCAAGGAAAGTTTGACGCCTTTAGAAAGTCACTCCAGTCCTACCTAGGTTTCAGTCTTTCTCTCTCTTTTTTTGCAGAGTCCCCTATATTCTGTATTCTGGGTTTTCTGGTTTATTTGAATTCTACCGAGTATTCAGGGGAGCAGCATTGCATGGGATGTTTTGCCTTTTGCCTTACTTGCATTTAGGACTTGGAATTAATAGATGACACTCCAGGCTCTGTTTGGGGAAAAGCTTGCCTCTCAAGGCACTTGCTGGTTGATACAAAACAGCAGTGCCTGTTAAACTAAGTTAGATGGTCTTTGGTGCTCTAATTATCACTCATTGGCCTGTAAGCGACTTGCTGTCTAAGGACAGGGAAGGGTTTGCTTTTTGTGAAATGCAGGCAAAGCAACATGCTTGTCCCTATAAAATATCATCTGTTATCTCAAATCATCTCCTCTGCAAAGTAGAAAGGAGGGAGAACTGAAGACTGTCACGAAACTTTGCAGACTGAAGTTTTGTGTGGTTTTTTTGGTTTTGCTTGGCCAATCAATCAATTGCAATTAATCTCGCATATCTTTTTTTTTTAATGCCTCCTTTCCAGCATACGGCATTTGATGTCCGAATGGCTTGTTTTCCAAAAATAAGGGGGAGATATGGCAGCATTTATAGGCTCTCTTATGAGCAGAGTTGTGACTTAGTCATTGAACAACCCACGGAGTTTTCTGATGTCATGTAGTGGATAGTGTTGGAGTTGAACCCAAGAGACATGGCTTTAAATTGCTGGATTCGTTGGGTGGCTTTGGGAAAGTCACTCAGATAGTACAATCTTATGTGTTGCTTGATCAGGACTAAATCCCACTGTGTCCAGTGGAGTTTACTCCCAAGTAAGTTATGAGTAAGATTGCAGCTGGAGTCTTGCTTAGCAAATAGATCTAGGGAACTGATCATTATTAGCAGCCACAGGACAGGAGTGGCTAACCTTTTTGAGGAGGGGGTTTGGTCTAATTGAGGCAATCACCAAACTTCCAGGATATGCTTGCCAGCAGTGGGTGTGGCCAGCCCATACACTTACCTGCACGCTTGCAAATTCATGCATACACACAGGATGCACACTCACACATGTGGGCACACAGACAGGGGCAGATGCACACACCTTAACTAATCCACGGAGATCATCTGGGGATGGTTATCATCACTCCCCTCTCCATTCATCAAATGATCCACCTGATGACCAGGGAGAGGGCAATTCATCCACTTCAGTGCTATGTATATGTTCACTGTTTTTCTTTTTGTCACTGCCCCCAAAATTGCCAAGGGCTGGGTGGGAGAGAAGATTGCTTGGCAGGCAAATAGGAACACAGGAAGTTTCCTTACACTGAGTCAGATTCATTGGTCCATCTAGCTCAGTGTTGGCTACAATGACTGGTAGTGGCTGTCTAGGGTTTCAGAACTCTACCTGGAGATGCTGGTGGTTGAACCAAGGACCATCTCCATGCAAGGCAGATGCTCTACCCTTGAGCTACAGTTTCCTCAAAGTTGCCCTCAAAATGGTCATTAGCCACCCTTGCTCTGGAAGAAGGCTCTCGTTGAGTATGATCAAGCTCAACGCGGAACCACTTTCCTTCTCAAAAACATCACACTAGTTAACAAATACTAGTTTAGCAGGCAAATTTTATGATGGAAAGAATGTGCTGCATCCCTCATTACTGGGAATACTTGTGCTTTCCAGAGGTAGATGATTTTTGTCACAGCAAGCAGCCCATATCTCAGAGAATTATCTTGATGGTTGAGGGTCTGAAGACATATTGGTGCTTGGCGATGGGACATAAGGACAAAGAGCAGTGGTCCCTGTAGTTACAGGTCCTCATAATTAGTCTAGAGTCTCTATATCCTGGGGGGACATCTACAAGTAGTTTTTGAGTAATCTGGGAGGCACTGTGATGGTTTACACTCATCCAGCTCTTCTACACAATAAGCCATTAGAAGTAGCAATAATCAAGGGTGGTAAGGGAGGCAGCAGGGAGGCAGCAGTCTCTACTACAGAGACTGTTGGTTGAGGGGTGAAGATTTAGTGGAGGCGAAATCTGCACCCATTCATGGTCCAAGAAAAGAGGAACCCTTTGCCTTCCTCCAACACTCTCATCAGTTGGCACCCATTCCTTATTTATTATACTTATTTTAAAAGACAACCACTCACATTAGAATATATCAGAGTGGTGTACAGAAAACCAAATTTAAGTATAAAATACACAGTAAATAAAGGTTAAAATAACACTGCAACACTAGAAGATGATCAGCAGACAGTGATTTTAACAATTCATTCACTAAAGACTGAAATTAAAAGGCCTTGGGCATGCATCTAAAAGAGAAGGTTGTTGGAGCATGCCTTATCTCAACTGATAATGAATTACACCTCAAAAGGGCCACAACTCTGAAAGCCCTGCTAGGCAAATAATAGGATCTCTTGGTACCACCTGAAGGTCCTTTGTCATGGAGCGTAGTGGCCAGGCAGGGGCATAAGGGGAGATACGATCTCTCAAGTAGCCTGCTCCCAAGTTGTTTAGGACTTTCTAAACAAGTCACCGCACCTTGCTTGGTGGCATATAGGCAGCCAATGCAGCTGCTTCCTCATATATGTTGAGGATGGCTAGCTCTAGATGGCAACCTCACAGCAGCATGATGCACTAACTGTAGTTTCCAGACCAACGTCAAGGGCAGCTCCACAGAGATTGCATTGCGGTAGCTAGGTATTGAGGGGACCAATGCATGGACCATTGTGGCCAGATTATTCCTGTCTAGGAACGGCTGTAGCTGGCCTACTAGTCAAAGTTGGTAAAAGACACTCCTAGTCACTGAAGCCACATCAGCCCCTAGTGACCCTTTAGGAGGAGCCCTCTCTCTTTTGCAGAGCTCTCTGTCTTCACCTGTCTCTCCTTGCTGAGATTTCTATTTCTTTGTCACACAAAGAGACAGCACCAAAGAACTATCTCTGTATGCTGTTTATTTCATTGACAAATCACTTGTGAGACATCCCAGTGTGATTTACAATAAAACAAAACAGATAGATAGATATATGGACATCACCTTAATCTTAACAAATAGACAGAAATAAACACTTTGTTGTACAACTGGAGCCTCTTATCGAGTAAAGAACAGAGTCTTTAAAAATATGTATTGATTCATACCTTCTTTGGGATATACTAGGCACATTCTCTAAAGAAATTTGGCAGAGCATGACTAACCGGGAGAATGGGAAGTTTGCTGAGGTTTGCAAGGGAAAGACAAGGGCAGGAGAGTTGACTGGAAGGCAGAGACTTGTGGCAAAGAGCAAGTTCTTTGTTTTCTCCCACTCTATCTACCTATCCTCTTATCTTAAGTAGCTTTTGTGTATCTAAATCCTTTACCCATCATTCCACACCTGAACTAGTATGAATTAACATACAGGACAGAAGGAGATTCACTTCCTCCAAACTCTGTCTGTGCATTGGACATTGAAAGACACTTTGGAATGTGTGCTGGGTATTCCAACCAGCTGTCTATTATGGGCACTGCTTCCATCTCTGCATGAAGTTAGAAATGTTTTGCCTGTGTATGCACCATACATTTAAATTGCATTTAAAACAAATCCCCACAAAGAACCCTGGGAATTGTCACTTATCTTCTACAATTCCCAGCACTCATAACAAACTACAGTTCCCATGATTTTTAAATATGTGCTTTAAATATATTGTTTGTATGCGGCCTTTGCTGCAGGTTTCTCTCGAGTTAATATCTAACCAGTTTGCTTTAGGATGATGCCGATATAATGTGAGAGCTGAGCGTACTTGGGAAATATCCACAGCTTTCTTGTGTAAAGTTTGGGCACTGTAAACTAGCTGCCCTTTCACTGAATTTGCACACAGCTACTTAGCAAACAGAGGATTTGATCACCTTCTGTGTTTGAATTTTCTTTGGAACATACAGCATTGCAATAAGTATTATACAATTGGAAGCTTCTCTTATTAAATCTGTAGCCATATGGTAGCATGTGTATAGGGTTGGGTGAATAAAAAGTTACATATCTGTTAATTTCTCTGAAGGCCAGCATCTTTTGAATGCAAATTCAGTGATGATAATTCTGCTCCTTGAGCTCTGATGCACTGTGACATAAACTTTGCTTTCTGAAGGTTGTATCTCATTATTCCCTCCTTCCCTTCTTCCCTCCCTCCCTCATAATCCCAACACCTGGGAATACAGCCTTTTATTCATATTTAGAGCAAATTGACATTGGCTAGGAACTAAGAAGAGAGCCTATATTTTTACAGTGGTACCGTGGGTTACAGACACTTCAGGTTACAGACTCCGCTAACCCAGAAATAGTACCTTGGGTTAAGAACTTTGCTTCAGGATGAGAACAGAAATTGCACAGCAGCGGCGTGGTGGCAGCAGCGGGAGGCCCCATTAGCTAAAGTGGTACCTCAGGTTAAGAACAGTTTCAGGTTAATAATGGACCTCCAGAACTAATTAAGTTCTTAACCCGAGGTACCACTGTACAGTTTTTGTTTATCTCCCAAATGGAAAGAGTAACAATAATCAAAGCCAAGGATAGCCAATGTGATGTCGGCCAGATGTTGTGGTACAACAGCACCCATTATCCCCAGCTAGAATGGCCAATGGAAGGAGATTATGGGAGTTGTAGTTTGACAATAAAACTGGAGGGTACCATGTTGGCTAACCCTGATCTAAACCTCTGTTGTTCAGTGTCATTTGGGACCAGTTTACCTTCAAGACCCCTAGCACCCATAACAGCCTACTCATATCTTATGGCAGATGTCCATCAACAAAAGTGAGCACAAGGAACAGGGCCTTTTCTGTGGTGGCCGCATTTTAAGGAACTCAATTCTGGGAGGAGCCAGGCAAACCCTGTTGCTGTTGTATTTTATTGATAGTTATTAACACATTTTAGTGATCGTAAATTGCTTTGGGAAATTATTGTCCCGAAGAAAAGTTTATTAGCTCAAACATACATACATACATACATACATACATACACTGAAGAGGGCAAAAACTTATTCTCTGCCATCCCATGGTACAGAACTAGTCCTAAGAAGCTTAAGTCACAGAGGGGCAAATAGGGTCCCTTAGGGAAGGGAAGTAGCTCCGTAGTAGAGCACCCCCAGGTTCCATTCCCAGCGTCTCCAGGTAAGACTGGAAGAGATCTCCATCTGCAACCCTGGAGAGCATTTGCTAATCAGGATAGACAATAAAGGTAAAGGGACTCCTGACCATTAGGTCCAGTCGTGACCGACTCTGGGGTTGCAGCGCTCATCTCGCTTTATTGGCTGAGGGAGCCGGCGTACAGCTTCCGGGTCATGTGGCCAGCATGACTAAGCTGCTTTTGGTGAACCAGAGCAGCGCATGGAAAAGCTGTTTACCTTCCCGCCGGAGTGGTACCTATTTATCTACTTGCACTTGATGTGCTTTTGAACTGCTAGGTTGGCAGGAGCAGGGACCAAACAACGGGAGCTCACCCCATCGCGGGCATTCGAACCGCCGCCCTTCTGATTGGCAAGCCCTAGGCTCTGTGGTTTAACCCACAGCGCCACCCGCATCTTGTTGGATAGACAATACAGATGGATTAATGGTCAGACTCAGAAAAAGGCAGCTTCCTCTGCTCTATGGAAACTTATTGATAGTGAGAGCAGTTTCTCAGTGGAACCAATGACCTAGAGGGGTGGTGGGCTGTGCCTCACTGGAGTTCTTCAAGCACCAAGGTGCTAGGCAGCCATCAATCAGATGTTTTAGCTCTGTATGTCCTGCATCAAGCAGAAGGTTGGACTGGATAGGCTACAAGACCCCCTTCAACTCTATATATGGTTCTATACATACCCTTTTCCATGAACAGCCAGAAATACTCTCCTCACTAAGATCGCAAACTGAGAGAACTCACTGATTTGATCACGAAGGAAAACAGCCACCTGAATCTAAGTGAGTGGATTAAATCTGCAGTTTTTGTACACTGAAGGCACACATGCATAGCGTGTTGCTGACCGTGCTAAATCTTCCAAAGTTTCAAATAGGTGCATTACAGTATATGCACAGGACTGTATGGAGAGCCAGTGTGGTGTAATGGTTATAACACTGAGCTGCAGGGATCCGTCCTGATCCATTATGATGTGCAGCTCCAAGGGAAGGCGGTGGCCCAAACAAAATTGAGAACAGCAGACTTTGAGTTCTGGAATCAGCTGGAAACTGCAGCAAAGTCAGGACCCTGGACAAGGGGTAAGGTTCAGGACCATGGCTAGCAGCCATGCATGCAAAGCAGAAATATAATAATAATAATAATAATAATAATAATAATAATAATAATAATAATTTATTTATATCCCGCCCATCTGGCTGGGTTTCCCCAGCCACTCTGGGAGGCTTCCAACAAAATATTAAAATACAATGGTCTGTTAAACATTAAAAGCTTCCCTAAACAGGGCTGCCTTCAGATGTCTTCTACCCTTTGACATCTGGTGGGAGGGCGTTCCACAGGGCGGGTGCCA